AGGATACGCGCGAGGGCAGTCCGCCGTAAAGGTAAATACACCAAATTATTATTACAGACGGCCACAGAACTCTTATCACCCAAGAAACCCAAGAGTGTTTTCTCGTGGAAACTCGTACAGGGGTAGGTATCAGGGCAATCGCCGTCAATTATCCCATAGGAATGTGAACTTTATATCCACGACAGGTGACCCCTGCATGGCAACGTAACGTGACCGTGATGAATCAGAGCAAGCAAACGCGTCACATTTGAATAATTTTTTTCGAGTATGACTATGTATTTATGTGCAACAGCTTATGTAAAGTATGTATTAATTTGGACAGGCATGAACACAACAAAAGCGAATGGCTAATCGACACCGGCGCTTCGATTTCAGTTGTCAAGCACGATAGAGTAAAATGTTTACGCATTCCATTCCACAAAGAAAAACTTTAGGTCAACGGCGTTGGTGGAAGCGTACAGTCAGAAGGATATATTTATTTACAGCTCAAAATTGATACCTACACTATAAAACATAAATTTTATGTATTTGATAAAATGCCATTCAAAACTGATGGAATTTTAGGGCTAGATTTTTTAACAAAGTACAAAGCAGTTGTAGACTTCGAATTAAATTAATTAAGAATTTGTAATTTAGAGAGACCTGTCACATTACCCATTACTTACTTGAAACAAGATAGTTCATATTTAACAATTCTAGCAAGAAGCGAATCAATTCATTATGTGGACACGAAGTTAAAACAGGAATGTGTCATTAGTTCTCAAGAATTATGTCACGGAGTATACATTGCTAACATTATAGTACAGCCGCATAATGGTAAGGTACCTTTTAAAATAATGAATACACGAAATGAGGATGTAATTTTGAATTATTTTAATTTAAACGTTTCTAAGTTAAGTGATTATTATTTATGTCACTTTAATAAGTCGAATATGAACGCAGAGAGGGTCAAGTCTTTGTTTTCTTTACTAAAATTTGAAAATCTAAATCAGGAAGAACAAAAGTCTATTGAAAACATTTGTACCAAATTTCCAGACGTCTTTCACGTACCAGGAGATAAATTGACAACGATTTCATTATACGACCATACTATTGAATTAAAGCCACATACTACTCCTGTTTACGTAAAGCCGTATCGTTTACCACAAAGTCAAAAATCGGAAATAGATAAAGAAATAAAAAGTATGCAAGCCGATGGAATAATAGAGGAATGTAGGAGTGCCTGGTCGAGTCCATTGTTACTAGTACCTAAAAAGCTAGATTCAACGGGTATTAAAAAATGGCGTGTAGTAATTGACTACAGAAAATTAAATGAAAAAGTTCAAGATGACAAGTTTCCTCTGCCAAATATTTCAGACATTCTAGACTCGTTATCTGGTGCAATGTATTTCACTACTTTAGATCTCTATCAAGGATTTTATCAAATAAAATTAAATAAAAACAGTCGACAATACAATGCATTCACAACAACCAAAAATCAATATCAAATGACTAGATTACCAATGGGACTAAAAACTAGTCCCAATGCGTTTTCTAGAATGATTACGATTGCTATGTCGGGATTTAATTACACCCTAAACAGCCTATGGAAATAACCAGTACGTCAAGTTATGCATTTGAAAAGATTTATTTAGACATATTTGGTCCTCTGCCTACAGATATTTTTTTTTGCCGGTCATTCTTACTTTCTCACGTTACAGTGCGAACTATCAAAGTTCATAGAGGCATATCCGCTACACACAAAAGATGCTAAATCGGTTGCATCTGCTTTTGTAAATAATTTTATTTTGCGTTTTGGCATACCCAGGGAAATTGCAACAGATCGTGGATCTGAATTCATTTGAAACACAATGGACGAAGTTTGTAAACTATTAAAAATTAAGAAGCTTACTTCAACAGCGTACCACCACCAGTCCATAGGAGCGCTCGAGAATGCACATAAGACTATAGGTGCGTATTTACGTATTAATTGCCTTAACCGAACATGTTCGTGGAGCAGCTGGCTGTCGTTCTGGTGCTTCGCGTACAATAATACGGTACATACAGAGACAAGGTACACGCCGCATGAACTGGTATTCGGAAAGTCGTGCAAATTGCCGAACAATTTAAATTCCGGTATAGATCCTTTATATAACTACGATAGTTATCCACATAAATTAAAATATAGATTACAGGTTGCACAGCAAGATGCAAGGAAAAACTTATTAGGAAATAAGTTAAAACGGAAGAAGGCCTATGACGTATATGTTAATCCAGAGACGTACACTAAAGGTAATTATCTGCTACTTAAAAATGAAACAGGCAACAAAATAGATAGTACATATTCGGGTCCATTTTTAATTAATGAAGATTTAGGATGTAATGATAAATAATAAGGAAGAAATAGTCCACAAAAATCGCACAAAACCTTATATTATTTAAAATACATAAGTAAAGTAGGTACCCACATAATTAATTTAAGTACCTTATTGTATGCAAAATAATAATTATTATTATAAAATTAATAAAAATAATATATTGCTTTTTGACTACTAAACAAAATAAAATGTAACTAACTATATTACCCTTTGTAACTATGCTATAAGTAAATATATGTATAAGTATTTGTTTTGTATAACGATAGAAATAAAATAGAAATTATATAAATTTTATTTTATTTTTGTAACAGGGAAAGTGTAGTATAAGAATTGTTCTTGTTAAGCACCATCTATGTTATTACTTATTATATGCAGTGTTAATCAAGCATCGAGTTGTCTCATTCGTCTCCGTCGTACGCTCTCTCTACAGCGGTTCTACAAAGAAGTAACTTCTTTCTCTTTCATACAGCATAAAAAGCAGTAACTGCTACCTCTTTCACACAGTACGAAAACAAGATAAGATAAACAATAGAAACTATTGCCGTTATCAAATAGCGTTTTCTATTGTTTGACATCTTGTTTTTACCATTTTGTTATTTAATATAACTGGAAATGCTAGGACTGCTCAACAATGTCGGTTTTATTTCAGACACATATCTTCCCAGGCAGTGTTGGGCGTTAATCAATTATATTTCAATCTGAAATTCAATCAGATTAAAAAATCAATTCAATTGAAATCAATTGCAATTGCGACGTGTCGCAATTGATTTGATTGCAATTGATTTTAATTGCAGTTGATTTCAATAGAATTGATTTTAATTGCAATAATTTTTTTTAGTTGTTCGAAGAAACAATTGAAACCAACAATTAAAACCGAAACTACCGAATAAAAGTGTCATTGCGAATATGGATTAGGGGGTGGGTTAGCGCTGGGTTAGATAGTGGGCTCACCCACCCCCTCACCCACCCACTCACTCAAAATCGTGTCCGCCATCTTGGATTTAGAAATGAGTGCCATATTTGTAATGAGCACCCCAAAATACCTTGAAAACGATACCCAACTTGCCATTATTTGAAAACTCGTGCCCGCCATCTTGGATTTAGAAATGAGTGCCATATTCGTAATGAGCACCCCGAAATACCTCGAAAATGATACCCATATTGCATTTACTTGAAAAGTCGTGTCCGCCATCTTGGATTAAGAAATAAATGCTATATTCATAATGAGCACCTCCAAATCCTCGAAAACGATACCCAACTTGCCATTATTTGAAAAGTCGTGCCCGCCATCTTGTATTTAGTAATGAGTGCCATATTCGTAATGAGCAGCCCCAAATACCTCGAAAATGAGACCCAACTTGCCATTATGTGAATAATTGTGCCCGCCATCTTACCTTCTAACACACCTCCTAACTCAAACTTTAGGTAAATTAACTCCCTTAATTCTGTAGCAGTAGGACGTGTGGATTCTAAACCTGCGATAGAAGGATGGATTTCGATATCATTACTAGCACAATGTAGTCCACGCCGAGTGTGTAATGGAAGCTATAACAACAAATAATCTATTTTCGCTTTGTATAACAACCTTTGATATAATTTCTAAGGATATAAGCACTCACTGTATATATACAACAAAAGATATAACAAAAAAAGGCATAATTTCAATGTGTATAATGAACCTTCAGTATAACAAACATTACATATAATGATTAAGTGATATAAAAAACAAATGGTATAAGAAGTACCAGTATAATGTATTAAATAATATAACACAATATTTCGTTTTAGGAATAGTTGAAGCACCCTATATTATATTGATAAGAATTTTTATTTAAATAAATATACAATCGCAAAATACAATTGTGTTTGTATTGCTTTAAGTGCTTTTTGTGTTAAAAAATATATTTATTAAAACTTTAAATAGAATATTTAGTTGCATATACTATTGCTAACCTAACCTAAACTCACAGGAGGAGATCGAACTAACTAGCAAATGCAAACAAATTCTGTTCTGGCACTTGTCTGCCACTGCCGCGACACGCTCGTTGCGTTCTTTCAGCTCGCGCAGCTTTATCATATACTAACGTAACCTAAGCCCACAGGAGAAGGTCCTACCAACTAGCAAATGCAAACAAATTCGGTTCTGGCAGCTTTATCATATACTAACCTAACCTAAACGCACAGGAGGAGGTCGAACCAACTAGGAAATGCAAACAAATTAGGTTCATTTTCCATTGCACCTGAACACCACCGGAATTATATTAATAATACATTATACTCAGTAAATGTTATATCTGAAGTGTTTATATAAAATGAACATTATGACATAGGTATATTAGATTGAAATTTGTTATATCAATTGTATATTATACCCCATGATCTTTATATCATGCAAGAATATGTCAAATGTCTGTATACCATAAATTTATTATATCTGTTGAACATTATATTAACTAAAAATATGTCATTTGTTATATATTACAAACTGCACCCGTCCACGCCATTTATTATAGGAATCCAAACAATTTAAAAAGTAAGTAAGATATGACTTTGTACTAAAAGACCCTTAGTTTTGAAAAAAAGCAAATTATCTACTAAAATCTTAATAATTTACCTTCATCTTGTCATATGATGGAGCGGGCTTTCCCTGCCCTGCCGTCCACTCTGTACAGCTGCTCCAAGAAGTTCCATTGGGCTCGTGCTCGTTGTCCGTCAAGTAGGAGATCCTTTTTCTGGAAATTGTTACGAAAACATTTTAATAAATGTGGCACATCAAAAATATGGTAGATCACATTGTTATTAATCTTATAGAATATGTTATTTGGATCAGTGCTATTGTTTTGTAATAATTCAGCATGAGTATCTGCTGTCAATGATTTTATGGTTGCAACATTGGCCGAGCCTTGATCACTCACAGTGGCTCGTACACAAAAAACCAGTTTTGAAAACAGCAATAATTATTTCTTTAACAATGTTCTTTAAGGTAAATGTTTTAACTCCATCTCTAGCAAAATAAAAGGTAACTGGAAATTTCCATCTACTAAACAGGCCATGTAACATAAATACTAATGCCTTGTCTGCTACATTGGAACTCCTTTGTCCAGAGCCAAGATCTTCAAATCCCTCAATTACCCCAGTGTGAAAATTAAAATGTAAATTTTTATTAATGGCCATTTCATCAAAAAGTAAAACACATTGTTTATCTTTCTCTGACTTGCCTAAGGCAGCATCAGCCACATGTTGAAAAATAAAATCATTGACTCCAGGTCGCAACGGGACATTAGTCAACAATGAATTTAGCGTGGACTTGGATGGTAGAATAAAAAATTTTCTCAAATGAGCATAACATTTTGGACTTAACTTTGATAAAGAAAGTGAAAATATTTTTTCATCACTGGTGTATCTGCGGCCGTGAGGTTTCACACCTGTTAAACAGAGCTGTGAATCTATTAAAAGCTTTCCAAACTTGTTCAAAGATTTATATTTTTTGATGAATTGTAATGTTTTAGGACAACTAATTAGATTGGATTTGCGCTTTATGTTATAGTACTTACTTTTCCACAAGCGTATCTTAGATTTTAACATTTTATTGTTATCACGCAAAATTTCTTTCCGGGGTGTTACTTCCGATGGCAATAAGCGCACTCTCCTAACTATATCATGTCTACGACTACGGACCACTTTAGAATGTGTACGAACTGGGGTAGTCAGGACAGTGTGAGAATCTTGTGTAACACATTCATGACAAAACAATGAAGGTTGTATACTAGAGGGCCCGGGGTCGACACCATGTGATTGCACATTATCTGCCTGAGAATCAATTAAAAAAGGTTGAATACCAGAGGTCCCGGGGTCGACACCATGTGATTGAACATTATCTGCCTGAGAATCAATTAAAAAAGGTTGTATACCAGAGGGCCCGGGGTCGACACCATGTGATTGCACATTACCTGCCTGAGAATCAATTAAAAAACTAGATGGTAAAGACACACTCGGATTACTAATATCATAAGACAGATCGTCAGTGGGAGTTAAATGCAATATAGGTATCGCATCTTTTGTCAGTTTATTTTGTTCATTTATATGTTCAGGATAAAAATGTTTAGGGCAGAATCGACAATTTTGAAGTTTCATTGGTTCACGGTCATAGTTTTCCAAAAATGGGCTTTCTTCCATGCCTCCCATCGTGTTTTATCGGTGTATGGAGCAAGAAAAAGTTTAAAATCCTTTCGTCGACTACTACACCCCGGAATAGCGCATCTGTGAGACATTTTGTAATAAAATAACGAGCAAAAATGTATATGGAATGGAAAATAACACGCGCACGGGTATAGCTATTTAAACCGCAAATAGACCAGGATAAAACAAATAGTTATTGTGAATTATGTAGTTTGATGATTAGATAATAAAATAAGACTTAGCCATATCGTAGTTATACAAATCCGTCACGATGAGCACAGTAAATCACAACACAAAACAAAATGACGACAAAATTAGACCATAGGCGCCATGTTTTCTTCCACTTTCCTTCCGAGTGACGTTAGACTGACATATGAATAAAAAGTGTGTAACACACACACACACATTGACACAACAGCATTTCCTAATAGAAAGAAAAAAAAAAGTTGGTGAAATGTACAGTTCCATGAGTGCAAGAGGAAGGGATAAGTCGGCTAACGAGCGGCTAACGAAACAAACCGAATGTCCTCGGTTGAGTGGGGCTGCTAGACACCACCTAGACACACAGTGTATAGAATAGAAGAATAATTTTGGAACGAATGAAAGAGTGGTGAATGATATTAATTTCGAATATTAAGAATGAATGACATTATTTTTGTCATAATTCTCTTCGCTTTTCACCGTTAGCGTTTCAGCCGCTTACAAAGTGTTTTGACTAAACTTGTTTTTAAAATGGGGAAACATAAAATATCACTGGAAACGGGATTTGGAGGTTGGAGGAAGAGTGAAAAAGGGATCAGGCGAAGAACTTCTACGAACTTGTACTTGTAAGAACTATGTACATTATGGTTTTGCAATAAATTATTGAATTGAATTGAATTGAATTGAACTAGAAAAAAATTAGATGTAAATAAACAAATGTCAGTAGTCTGTCGTAATGTTGGGTCATGGAATAATTTCCATTTGGAAAAGTTCATATTTTTGAGAAAAATCATTTTCCCGAAAATTTTCCTTACTTCTTCCACATTTGACAGTCGACACCTGTCAAAACTTGAAGATAATTTATTAAATTGAAAGGAGGAAGCAAAGCGCTTATTGCGAATAGGTAGGAATATCAACGACATAAGAATGGAATGCTCCTGCGCACACTCCCCGAAATGTATCCGATAGTAAACCAACAAGCAGGTTACTTTTGTGCTATGGTCGAGATTTTGTAGCTTCGACTCCACAAGAGTTGTTGTTAATGTCTCTTTGGTTTTCGCTCCACCGAGTCCAAGGCAGCTAACTGGTAATGGGCAGAGCCGTCCCAAAGGTGGCAGAAGTACTCCATACACGATCGAACTTGTGATGATACAGATTTAAAAGTACCGCCTGACCTTGTAATGTATGCCTAGTTTTCTGGCAGCAGTTTTTGCCAAGCACTCGATGTGTCGCCCAAAGTTAAGGTTGGATGATAAGTCCAGACAAAGTAGCTCATGGTGCACGGGTTGTCCTATGTTTCAGAAAATCGCCTATCCATTTGCAAAAGCCAACAGGAACTCCGTAAGCTGGAAGCTTATTTAACAGGCTATCATACCAAACCCTATCAAAGGCCTTTAATATGTCGAGAGACACGGCAAGCGATTCACCGCGTTTCTCGACAGCCTCGCCCCGTAAATGTATGGCATACGCAAGAAGATCCCGAAGTAAATCGACCACGGCGAAAACCATACTGTCGATCACTAAGAAGATCGATCGATCTGTCTTCGAGGTATCCAAGAAGACAGCTGTTCAATACGCGCTCCATAGTGTTACGGAGAATGAAGGTGATTGCGATAGGTCGATAATTAGATGGATTGGCATGACTACCTTTCTCAGGTACAGGCTATACATTTGCTAGCTTCCAAGTTTTTGGGACTTGTCCAGAACTCATAGAGAGGCGATACAGGCGAGTCGACACCGGAAACAACTCGGGTGCACAGTTCCGCAGGACTTACGCTGGGACTCCGTCAGGGCCACTGGGTTTGTTGACGTCTAATTTGCGTAAAGTTTTTAACACCTCTTTTTGACGGATAGTGATCTCGGGCATTTTCGAGTCACAGCGAGGTAGTGTAGGTGGTGTTTGCAAAGCAGCGTCAAGACGGGAGTTGGAAGCAAAAAGAGAAACAAAAAGATTTGCTTTCTCTTCAGCGGTGTGAGCCAGCGATCCGTCAGCTCTCATTAAAGGCGGAAGGGATGATCTGCAGAAATTCGCTTCGACCGATTTAGCGAGCGACCAGAATGCTTTACTCGCTGATGGGTATGAAGCTAACCTGACCCCAATACGACTAATATGGCCGAAGCGAGCGTTCCGTAATGCTTTTTTGCAGGATCTAGCGGCTTTCTTCAAGCGGAGGGTTTCCGGTGCCTCGCGATCTCAGCCCAAGCGTGGTACGCAGATTGCTTTAGCGTTTCCGTACAAGCACACTCAGCGTTAAACCAAGGGCGAGCTTTGCCGCTGGAGGAGACTTCGAAATACGGAATAAAGTATTCCATTGCCCGAATAATCACCTCAGAGACGGCAGACGCACAGCACGTCGGACCGTCAGAAGAGAAGCACAGCTGCCGCCAGGGATAAGATGCAAAGAAATGCCGCATCGCATCCCAACCTGCTGACATGTCCACATGTCCACATCCTCCTAGTACCTCTCATACTGAGATCGGGTGGGAAGTGGACAGATACAGATATCACTAGACAGTGATAGGATGTCCTTAGTCGGGACGAGACCGATACTTGGTAGCGGTCTAGATCGGTTGTCAGCAGAAGATCCTGATCCATTCTGACACTGGCGATGATCGCCATAATTTTTATAATTAATAATCTTTTAGAACTTACACTGGCACAAGCCTAGTGGCCGCCATAAAGGAAATTTTTTTTTTCCAGAAAAATTTCCACTATTTGAAATATTTTCCTTATTTACCCAACAATAGTCTGTGGTCACTGGTCAGTCATATGATCTAACTAAATAGGTGAAAACGCATCTAAAGTTGTTTTTTCTACCCCATTATGTAGACAAAAATGTATGTAAGAATGATTCCTTCCTTTTGGGTAGTTCTCTTTTTCGTTTTGCAAATAACTCTGAAGCTATCACAAATAGTCGAAATTTTTAAATTTTTTTTTGTGATTTTTGTGATAATTGGCAAAGAAAATGTAATCACTACGTTAAAATCATTGGTATCATTTTTCTAGTGCAATAAACTATATTTATACGTTGAACTTTTTACAAGCTTTATTTTGTTGACGGTTTATTTTTATATTGTAGTTTTGAGGTTGTTCCCTAATGAAATTGGAATAATCGTATTCGAATTACCATCAGGCAGACAGATTTTTATGGTGATTCGGAGTCGTAAAATCACTATGCATCTAGTACAGAATGAGTCTGAGGTAAAGGTGTATCAAGCAGCGTTGGCTGGAGCAGCTGCTGGGGCGTTCACCAGAGCCGTCGCGCAACCACTCGACGTCCTCAAAATCAGGTTTCAACTTCAAATAGAGCCTTTAGGTAAAGGATCCAAGTATAGCTCCATTTCTCAAGCCGTTGGATCCATTGTGAAAGAGGAAGGAGTTTCCACCCTATGGAGCGGACATGTACCGGCACAGTTATTATCAATATCCTACGGCGTGTTACAGTTTTCTGCATTCGAGACACTCACTGATTTGTGTCAAAAGACTGATACACATTTTTATGTGAATAACAAGCCTTGGATAAATTTTAGCAATGGAGCAATTGCTGCTACAGTGGCTACAGTAGCGTCTTTTCCTTTCGACACAGTCAGAACAAGACTAATAGCTGAGCAGAAAACCCACAAGGCTTACAAAGGTTTTATAGATGCATTCTCCACTATGGTCAAGTATGAAGGTGCTAGCTCACTATTCAAAGGATTAATTCCGACTTTGGGGCAGATAGCTCCACACGCCGGAGTACAGTTTGCTACATATAAAATACTTACAGATGGCATTTTGAATAAGGTACCATTCTTCCAAAGAGAATTAAATCTTGGCTCCGCAGTAGAAACAACTTTATTTGCAAATTTAGTAGCTGGTTCTGTAGCTGGGTTCATAGCTAAGACTACAATATACCCGTTTGATTTGGTAAAGAAAAGAATGCAGATTCAAGGATTCCAACAGTATAGACAAGGTTTTGGGAAGCAGATGTACTGTAATGGACTTTTAGACTGTGTCAAATTAACAATCACAGAAGAGGGGTTCCAGGCCCTTTTCAAAGGTTATTGGCCAAGCATGCTGAAAGCTGTCCTAGTTTCAGCACTACATTTTGCTGTTTATGATGAAATAAAACATATCCTCGTAAGAGTACAGAGATAAGTTAAACTACTGCAATTTCTAGTCAAAATTGTAATTCCTAGTTGTGAGCAAAGGTCAGATGCCGTTCAAAAGACTATTTCTTCATCCTGACATATTTTTGAGGAGCTACTTTATAAAGCAGTTTTGAATATTTGAAATGAAATAGCTTTTTTAGAAATTACTGCTTTGATAATTTATAAATATTTATTAATTTCCTTTTTTATGTTTGGTTGTTAATGATCAGGAAACTGCAAAAATCCCTGTGATACTAGTGATATTATATAGACCTTAAGATTAATTTATTTAGAATTTGCTTATAGAATAAAAATCTAAATGAAAATATTTGATTATTTACTTTATTTTAAATTAATTGATCCCCTAATAGTATAAAAAGAATTACTTAATGGCTATAAAATTATGCATAGAGCAATTATCATTTTAACATAATATAATTTTTAATCATTCAACAACTGTTTTTGACTAAAATAGTATACATTTCATATAGGTATCTAAATTATCCATAAGATATCACATAACCCATATTTCTCATAAGAGTATCTTTGATAGCTGGTTGAAGTTCTTTCTTCATGTATGTAGTCAAGAGAGTCCTAATTCCTTTAGTGAATATATCCTCCATTTCTCTGGAAATATCTTCCACTTCGTCCAAATCATCATCCGGTCTGAAGAGCTTACTTCGTTCGTAATTCACTCTGCTACTAGGTGGCTCATATATCACATCCCATCTGTTCTCCGTGGATCGTCCTTCTAATATTTCAGGATAAGATCTTTCCATCCGTGGATCGAAAGTAAACTCGTCAGAACGCCTTCTCCTTCTCAAAGGCAAGTTGTCCTTATTTCTCACAGAATTCCTATTGATATATTTCTCACACCCGTAAGCGTAAACACTGATAAAGCCTGGTTCTACAAATTCGGAGTCAGTTTTCACATTAAATTTTCCTGGTTGCTGATTCAAAGGTTGAGTATGGAAACCTATGCCAGCTTTTCGTAACCTCAAAATCATATTGCAGCCCTTGTTTCCTTGGTATCGCGGATATTGTGCGTTGAGATATTGGTCATACGGTCTACCGTCTGCGTAGTTTCTTCTCAGTCTTCGACTTAACGGTATACCTCTGTCTAACTCATTTGCGTCATATAAGTCGACATTACCACTTATCGTGATGTCGTTGAAAAGAAGCATAGTATCCAAAGAGACATTTCGAGGATCGTAATAACATTTTTCTACGCGAACCCAATTTGAGTTTTGCGGAAGACGAACACGCATCCTTGTTACATACATGTCAACTGGAGCGGATCTCATTTGCTGGTGCAAACTGTAACCATTGAGGTCTATACTTTGACTCTGAAACAAGGTCGAATTAAGAGTAAAGTATTTTTTTAATTCATGAATGAAGTAGGTACCTACCTACTACACCCAACCTTTAGGCTGATAAGTAATTGAAACTAGTCGGACCTTTGTTACTTAGTTTAGCATAGTTCCTAATTCCAGAGCCTACCTATTTAGATTTTCCGTCCCTTGATTTTTTATCCACTCCATATCAAAAATATTGGACTAGAAAATGTGTATATAGAGCTCAAGGCCATCTAAGTATTCCCTTCATTATTACAAGAATACAAACACGAGTAAGTACAACATGACATGTTAATCTCTTTTAGGCTTTTCTTAGTCAATTTCAATGACCATTGTATTCTAAGTAGTCGCTGTACTGTAACTAAGTGGTGTATGTATCACATCCTAAAACAATCTAAATCGATGTAGGTACCTGGGACTGCTTTATTTGCATTGGGCAAAATTTTCTTACTTTGATTAACAGTCGGTGGCATCTTTACTTGCTTCAAACTAGGTACCTACCCTATTAAATTTTAAAGTTTCACAGATATTTAAATTAATCTTTTATAGCGTTATTAAATGGGCCCCCTCTTTATTTATTGACCTCGTTTGAAAGTTGTGTTATTTAGATGGTTCTTAACTATCCTCTTCGCTAATTGGTATAACCGCCATCAGAATATTCAGTTCATAATTCTTTTGTCTAGAGTTGTTAAGAACTTCCAAAAAATGTCTGTGACGCCATTTGTTACGAGTCCTGAGGATGATCGACATAGCGAGATGTGAAGTACTATTGTAGGCAGAATCTTCTAATTAACATACAAATAATCGGAGTAGACGTTATGACAAAAAAAAATGGGAAGACAGATTTCAAATTTATCAATTAAATATTGAGTTATTAAATATGAATTGTTGAATTAATAAATATTAATTAATTATTTCATTGAAGTTAGCTAATATTTGGGCCAGCAATTATAGGAATTCTTTTTGTTTTTAAAGGTATACGTAGTATTCTTAGTGTTTAAGCTTTTCTAAATTTCTTTGTGATCAAATGTCTACATCGTCACATATCATAGTCTGAACTCACCAATGGTGTGTCCAAGGTCTTTGCTTGGTTTCTTTTTCTCCTCTTCAGTTGATCCAGAGCGGACTCTAATCTTGCTGAACATCGTTCCCCCGCTAAGGGAACCGTGTTCAACGGCGGTAGGCCTCCGGGCCCTAATGGAGGCAGGGGCCTTCCGTCAAAACGCTTTTCGAAAACGGGAAGAAAACGGGTCTCTGAAACAATCTGAATTATTAGTTTTACTGTGCCTATAAATACGAACTTAGTGGATCAGTATAGGTAGTAGAACTGTTTCGGATCAATGACCTCAAACATTATGTTGCCTAATGATGTGCAGTGAACCTGGATTTCTGGGACTTTGGTATAATGTTTTTAGCTAAATCCATCAATGTTTATTATTTTGTGATTACGCTGGCAAATTTAATATTGTGCTTCTTTAACCTTTCTAATTCGTGCTTCTCTATGTACTTTTTGAAACTTATTGAAATTTGCATAGAGAAGTAATTTTGTATATTTACATAATTATAAAAAGGTTTGAGACACTTTTAACCCACTGTACATATGATCTAATTATATGTATATAGTTATCACAGACCACAGTGGTACTTATTATCATGTATTTGAAAGAAAAAAAATCGCAAAAGTAATTTATGTACTATCTTTCGATAAACTCATAAAAGAGTATACGTATCCATACAAATGCAGATAAAATGTTCAGACTCTGATACGTAAATCATCAAATACTATAATAATATTTTTTTATTACAAAACTCCATACAGCATTAAGACCGCATGTAGCAAAAATAGGTCTACCTACCTTTTCGGATCACACTATATTATTTATACGTACTTATTAAGTTACTTTAAAAATAAAATAACTTAATAAGTTCATTTTTCTTTTACTGAATAAACAGTAGGTAATATTTTTCCACTTCCATTGATATCGAGAGAAAAAGTGAAATTAATTCAAAACAATAATAAATTTTCAAGGCGGATTATTTACAGTGAAAAGTTAAAGTTTTGCAGACAATGACAAATCTAGATTAAACCGAAAGTGATATGGTAATTATTCTGGGGCATTTCTGTGTTTGTTTTCACTTCTATTGTCTGATGTGCGCAACCGTGAAATAGAAGCGCTGCGCTCTAACGAAAATGTCGATGGTATGTTACGACTTATGAGCAAGGAACTTAATTGTTTCTATTTCAAGTACAACAGCAAAAGTTACGTAAATGCAAAGGTACGTTAATGGTACTTAAATAAAAAGCTAGGGAAAGCGTGGGAGAGCATTTGTATTGTTATAATATGCAGCGTTATGATTTTGAAAGGTATAATCACGTGTCATATTTACATTTCCGCGATTGTTATTACAAATTATAAATTAAATTTTAAGAAAAGTAGACCTCTTAGTGCTAAATTATATTTAGGTATCGCCTTTTGTCGTGCCAAATAGTGAATACTCTTTAACTACCTTCAATAAAGCAAGATTAACTTTCTTGCGACAAACAAATATCAATGCAGAGATGAAATGTTGCTACTTGTTAAATTAATTTATTAGGATCAGCCAAATACCATGTAACATCAATGAAACTTCTTTACCTATGTTTTACGTAGGTGAACAGAACCTACCTTTCCCACTTTCCGTGTCAGGCAGTTCGTTGTCGCTAGCCGATGCCGTTTTCGCAAAAAATATAAACATCCACCAAAATCTCACCATTATCACCACAATATTCAGACATTAAAACAAAACAACTGACCAAATGTTCTGAACGCCCGTGCGCGCAAAAAAAAAAAGAAATCGGGGAAGAAATGCTGCCGTAAAATTGGCGCGAACCGAAGACAATCACTTGCTATCGCTGCGAAACCGTGTGATGGAATAAGGTACTGGAGGTGAGACAATAAGAAGTGCAGTGTTTGGAAAATAACCCCCGCCCGTGTCGAGATCGTATCATGATGGAGCGGTGGAGGCATTAGATGCTACGACAGCGACAGGTGTCTGTATAGGTACCTATCTTAGCAAACGGCGAGAGGTTATTAGAGCGAAAACAAAGATGTCTCCAACCTCATACCGTTTTTCTAAAAAAAAGTATATTGTGCATTATTATCCGTATTTGTTAGTTTTATTGCTGTTGTGTGCGTTTAGCTGGAGTCGTCACGTGTAGCTTAACATATTGTCCCGTGTTAAATGCTCTAGTTTCTAACGGCACGTAATATGAATTTTCAAATCTGCTTACTGTGCTTTGTTTAGATAATCTATGAATTGTTTTATCATAAATCTACACAGTTTTTGTCTATACTATGTTCTTTACGTTAATTTCAAAACAAAAGGTTAAGCAATAATGAGTACTCTGACAGATCACTTAACGCAAGCACCGATTATGACAATTACGATAGTACAAAATTACGGCCCAAACTATCACTGCTTTACTGACAAACCATGGACCATTCCTAAAAATATTGGTGCCTCTACCACGAATTTACAGCGCCCCTAGCGATCACAGGAAGACACAACATTTTGTATTGTCGCTAGTGATAACTGTCACTGTAATCTCGTGGTAGACGCAAGGTACATTAACGGTCATGCGTTCTACAGACACACGGCCCTCCACGATTTTGGTATTGTAGAGCAGAGTTGTTAGAAATATCGGTATCCGCATTCATCGATGCTGATATTCATTGCGGATGTTCGAGTCACAGACTTCCAGAAACAGAAGACTAAGCAAAAAGCAACTCAGTTATTGTTTTTAAAATATAACTTTGGTAGAATTGCAGAACCATTAAGCTAGGCAGATTGATTGTTTTCATGAGGTTTGATTCTTTTGTTATTAAATGTCACAAAATCATTGAAATAATATTTCATTACAATACCAAAGAAAACAGAGAGCTTTTTCATGTAGGTAGATTCAGTAAAGATGTATATTTTACGCGTTTTTCTAAAATACACAAAATCAGCATACGCTGATGTTAAGGTCAAAAAATCAGCATCCGCTGATGTGTAAGCAACCTACATCAACAACAACCCTGCTGTGGAGTTTACCAAAATCACCATGGACACCATGTCTCTAGGATGCATGACGGGTTAATTGGATAAAAGAATTATTTTTTTGGGACCTAATTCGCGTATTCGCGCAAAACCTAAGAACTCGACATACATTAATTAATAGTAAAGATTATTTAAAATTGTACCTTACGATATTTGCATTGCGTTGAAGTTTCAGTGACAGTTTGTGTAGTTAAGCATGTGACTGAGTGTAATATCTGTTTTAACAATCTAATCTATGTATAAATTATTAACCATATTCATATTTTTCATAGCGACGACATGACATTTTGTCTCGGCATCGTAACAAGTAGAGTGTAACGTAATTATGAATAGAAATTAGGTTGCAGAGCCTTAAAACTGCCATAGACCGCACAGAAGTTTATTGACCTCGTAGACTTATAACTTTATCAGCTTTTATCGTAGTTGCATTTTATGATAACGCTACATATTCGTTTATACATACTCAAGTAGAATTCGAACATACTCCCTACTGCCATTGGTAGAGCTCCTTGTAAAAGAGTTCGTCTAGTGAGGTACTGCCACCATACCTATTACTGCGTTCCAGTTTTGAAGGGTAAGGGTGCTGGTGAAATTACAGGCACATGGGAGTTGTCAACTTATGTCTCAGGGTGACGGACGCAGTGCCCCTAAGACCTTTGCGATTTAAGGCTCTGAGTGGCACTGCAACTGTTATGGATAGGCGTGTCGCTTACCACCAGGCGCACGACTTATTCGTCCCGTCACTTGGTATCTAAAAAAAAATCTACGACAATTTTGCAACTGAGTAAGACGTATTATCTCACTCAGCTTCAAACACGTTGTGTGGGCTTTAGATCGTCATTCGTTTTTATTTTTTATGTGCCAGACATTCACACATATATATTCATTTACACGTATGGCGTAACTACAGGCAAATGGGACTTGTCAACTTTGTCTCAGGGTGATGAGCGCAGTTGGCAGTGCCTCTCAGATATTTGCGATTTAAAGCTCTGAGTTGCACAGCAACTGTTATGGACAAGGGTGTAGCTTACCATCAGGCGCACATGTTGTTCGTCCCGTTACTTATATTTAAAAAAAAGCAAAACTATTAATATGTGTAAATGGCATTAGAATAGACAAAATAGTCTTCGAGTTATTAAGACACAAATATTTTATGGAAACGGTAATTAGGAATTGTTATTTTCCATAGCCGCGTAATTAGAAAGTTCAAACACTTTTGAAAGAAAACATAAAAACGAAAATTAAAAAGAACAACTAACAAAATAGAAATAAATTTCATCTCGATTTTCTATTCTTTATGTAGTTACTACAAACACCGAAACAACATGTTTCTTTGTTATATAAAAATATTTTATATGCAGAAATACTAAAAACATAAATGATTACACTTTTCTTGTAATAACTGTGATTAATCATAATTTCTGATTATTTCAAGCGCTATCGCCGCTGATGTGTCGCACATGTCTCTTTTTCTAAAACCTAATTTGTTATCTTTGGTTTTCTCATTGTATCAAAAAATATTGTTAATTCGTTTCATTATAAGATCTAATTATATGGAAGTCTATATAATTTGTATCATAATAGATAATGTTTCTATTACACTTTGTCTTGAGGCGAAATCGTGTGTAACATTTAAAACTTTAATATTTTAAACCGACTTCAAAAAAGGAGGAGGTTCTCAAATCGTCTGTACGTTTTTTTGTATGTAGATGTTACGCGATAATTCCAGCATTTGTGAATGTTTCACCTCTAAGGGTGGCAAACCAGGGGATGAATCCGGTTTCGTGCACTTTCCGGTAACCGATTCCAATAAAACTTTGCAAATAGATGTAATTCCACGATCGTTTGAGGTCGGTTTTTTAGTACTCTGTATTGATCATACTACGAAAGAAAGCCTACCGTAATTAATACTACAGTACTTAGAACACGAACCATTTTCTTAACAATTTCAAAAACTAGAAGTGATGGAAAATACTCGAATATCGTAATACATAAAAGCCTCGTAGTCCTTTTATTTCAATAAGCGATGACACATTTCTTTAAAAAATGTAATTCACAAATAGGGGAACAGGAATTACAAAATTTTTAACCCGAAGTTACTATAATTAGATATACTAAATTGCGAGCGAATACGACGGCACTGCTACAACCCACCTAGGTACACACTATTCGAGTACCGTGACACGGCTGATAGCTGGCGATTCATGCAATAGTGACTTCCAAATAGTTCTTGTGTATTTGTAAAGAATGGTCGACATAGGTTATATTTTTATGTGGTTACGCAAGGAGTATTTCGCCAGCCAGGATTCATAATGGCACAAGTGTTCTTCTCATTCCGGACTAAAATGAGAAGTAAGTTGCATTGCAGACAAAGGAAGCGTCCGGACAGGTTACGGTAATTGGAACACATGGATTTGCAAAATAAAATGAGTATGATAATTTAAGCAGTAAAGATAAAGCCAGTTTATTAGTTTTCGTATTAATATTATTTTTGACACTATTATCCTTGAAAAGAATACTGAATATATTATTTCATTTTTGTTATAAAGAATGTGTTTTTTTAAAAACAGCATGCTTCTGTAGGCCAAATTTGTTATTAATGTTGGAGGCATTCCATCAAATATACTAATTATGAAATAGAGTGTTCAACTTTTAATTGCTTGTATCCAACACATGTTTGCGCGGGCGCCGGCCGCACGAAGCCGAAACGCGCGTCTGGTATATTTTTTAGTAGTGGTATCAGTGATTGTAGTTGCGTTTGTGTTATTTATTTTATTAATTTTTCAAATTAACTGCATGAAAAAAATCAACACAAGCGCGATTATTTTGCGCGATTTAATCTCCCCTGAGTTCGCGGAGTAGCAAATTAATTTTCTTCCATGTTACTTTTTTTTCTCTGCTTCAATTTTTATTAGCATTCCCACAAAACAAAATGTCATCAAATTAGGAAAAGGAAATGCAATTATTTTACACCTCAGTGACTTCAGTATACATAAATATTCCCATCTTCTAGTAGGTATGTTCCTCCGTTCGAATTACTGGTGCCTTGCCTTAATTTGGCAGCCGCGAGGAGGTTGACGCGACTAGGAGGATTTCTCCACGAAAAAAAGGTATGTTAGGCAATTGGTAAGGATGGTTTGCTTAGTAAACTCTACAAAACGTCGTAATTTCAGGCGCCAGTCGTAAACATTCGCTACGTCCATTGTTATACGTAAAACAACGAGTAATTGTCCAAAAAAGTCTTTTTGTATGTAATCGCCGTCGTGATCCATTGTTTCGAGTTATTTTTCTTATGAAATTTCCGTGAAATAGACCAAATTTTACGCAACTACCCCCAATAATTTAATAAAATGTAATAGTTCGTGCGTTACAAATTGACGAACGTGTTTCAAAATTTCATTGTTTTTTCTTTAGTGTGTTAGTTGTTACTTTTAATGGGAATTATGATGTTCTTAATTATGCACGGTGTAAACAATAGAACACGACCATTAAAAATCTCTGCCCTTACTACATTTCATGAGGAAAGTTTTCCAATTTTCTTTTGTTATAATACCAAGTGACGAGACGAACAACTCGTGCGCCTCGTAGTAAACGACACGCCTGTCGATAACAGTTGCAATGCTATTTAGAGCTTTAAATCACTGCCACTGTGCCAAGTCACCTTGAGACAAGACGAAGAGTGACAAGTGCCATGTGCCTGTAATTTCACCGCACCCTTACCCTTCTAAACCGGAATACAGTAATGCTAACATTACTGCTTGGCGGCAGAAATAGACAAGGTG